AAATTTCAATCATCCTGGAAATTCTGTCTTGATTTTTTAGTGCCATCTGTTTTGAGATTCTGATTTAATCAAGTTTATCCCAGAAAGGAAGACTCCCCTTGAACAAATGACATAACCCCCCTATTGGATTATAGAAATTTAGCTGTTCTGAGGAAGAAAGCATCACCTAGAAGAGAAAGTAACCAAAGACAGGAACAGAATTTTGAACAGCACAAGAATGATTCTTCTAAGGGCTGCTAAAAATTAGCTTCATCCTCTCCCTGTGTCTCACCATGGGTAATGGAGCAGAAAGCTCTCTGATTATCTTTTTCCTCGCACCAAAAAGCCAGAAGTCAATATGTTGTGCGTCATTCTCTCCTGCCTTGGGATTTTCAGTTTCTCTTCTGCCGGTGTGTGTTCTGTGAAGGCTCCTGAAGGATGCATGTTGTGAAAGTAGTTTCTCACACGTCTAATGGGGCTGAAGCTCCACTGCACTGACATGGGTCTTTTCCCGATAAAACTTGTTCAGCTCATATCCCAGTGCTAATCCTTCATCTCCCTAAATTGACACAACAAGATGGGAAATGAGTATATACTCAAATAAGAAAAGGCAAATTATAAAAAAAAAAATTAAACCTCATGTTGATGCTGGAAACCTTTATTTGTATATTGTGATGTTATCTCCTTGGCAGAAACAAAATTGCTTGGTGAGTATTTCATGAGCACATTCTTTTCAGCTATTGATCCAAGATTGAGCAACTGACATCACACTGAAACGTAGTCTGATTGTTGTAAACTGTCCTTGAATTAATCTGATCACCCTTATCATTCACATGCCTACAGTACAAGGTTCAATCATTAGTCCTTGAGATAGCAGTAGAGAAAGGTTTTGCATCACGTGAAGCTGGTTCCTCCAGATCTGTAATTCAGATCTTCTTGGCAAAGTCGTGTTCCATGTTGTAGACGTGAATTCAAAACAGCTACAACATATTTTACCAGAAAATTCTTCTCAAATATTTTCGGCATTCAGCTACCTTTTCAAGTATCTTCATTTATTGTGACAGCTGCGAGTCATTCATTGTCACAGACTGCATTTATCCCATTGGAGCTGTTGCATTCCTTTGATGAACCACTTCAAAGTACCTCAAGCTCATGGAAAGAAGCTCTTCATTAATGCAAAATATATATATATATTTTTATATACACCTATGAATCTGTCTCCCCTAGTCCTGTAGCACCTCCAGTTCTTGGCAATGCTGTGTCCTTCCCTGTTACAGAGGTGAAGGGTGTAACCTCTGATTGACAAGGACAGACTGACCATCCTTCAGGGCTGCCCAGGACACCCAGGGATACCAGGTGCTCCTGGAGCTCCAGGCATGAAGGGAGAACAAGGCCTGCCAGGCCCTCAAGGTACTTTTCTTCTACTTGGTTTAATAGGTATCAGTTCCCTTGTTCACCAGAACAACAAATTAAAGAGCTGTTGTTCTGGTGAACCAGTACTTGACTGGAAAGTAGCCATCTAAATCTATATCCTCACTTAAAATAATAAATTTACCAAATGTTCCTCTACCATAATGTATGAGTCCAAGTACAGATTATTTTACCATCTGCAGAACAGAACACTTGTGAAATAATAACACAAGAGCTGCTGACTTGTGAGTGAACTCAGGATAATTGTTTTCAGGCACCTCACATAGAAGGCAGGCATTTGAAACTTTCCCAGTTTTTGACGGAAATTAAATCTTCAAAATGTTAGTAAGTGCTACGGATGTTTATACTCTCATTCAGGAGTTAAAACACATGAAATGAGATCTTCACAGTGTTCACCACCTTTATATTCTTTCTTGTGTTTTCTTTTCAGTGTACAAATTAGTCCTATTGACATGCACTTCAGCTTAAAACAGCTTTATTCTGCCATTATCAGCTGTATTTGCAGGACAAAATGAAATAGCATTATCAAAAATGAGAGCAGAATTTAACTAATATACATAGGATTCAGTGTACATATTTCTTTTACTGGGTTTATACCCCAATAAGGTCTTACCCCACGTCTTCTGGTTGCAGTTATTCCAGAGAAGGAAGGATGGGTCAGTAGATTTTTACAGAGACTTGGCATCTTACAAGCGAGGGTTTGGTAACCAGCAGTCAGAGTTCTGGCTGGGGAACGACCACATTCATTCACTGACCAGCTCAGGTGAGTCTGTCATCCTGCCCACAGGGCTGTGTCAGCACAGGAACTGCGTGAGCTGAAACAATCACAGCATAAAGTCAGCAATGAAAGGAAGACATTTATGTGCAGTAGTATAGTTTTTATTCACAGTTTGGTTGGGAAAATATTTTTTATGTTTACATCAGAATGAACAATAATGGTGAATACATTTCTGGAGGATGTTTCAAAACGCCACATCACTCAAAATGAAGAGCCAGCTACCTTGAAATATGAAAAAAATATTATGAGGAACTATGATGCAAAAGCAGCAGAATAATACTTTAAGACTGAGTTCCTCAGATGAAGTCTTGTCTCTCTTGTTTTAAAGATAATTATGAACTAAGGATCAAGAAAATGTCTCAATGTTTGCCAAATTTCAGTCTTTTAAGATTCTGGGGGAATCAGAAAATACCAACTCAACATAAATGGATTTGTATCTGGAAGTGCAGGTAGGTCCCTGTTCTGTGTACCTAGAGGTTTTTAAAGGTAAATACTGTAATACTAATCTGTGTAGCAGGAGCCAGAATTATGTGTATCTCAATGGTGAGTGGTTCAGTGTGTCAGTATCCGGCAGCTATATCAACCTGCAACTCACAAATGGTAACCCACTAAAACTAAGCAGGTGTGATCCTGGCCAGTACCTGGATGGGAGACCTCCTGGAAAAGTTAAGGTTGCTGCCAAAAGAGGTGTTAGTGGGATCAATATGGGGCACTCATCCTGAGGTCTGTGTAGGTCTTAATGTCCCACTGGGGACAGTGATGGGGACACTATACTGTAAAAAAGACACCATCCTTTGGATGAGATGTAAAACCGGAATCATTAAAAATCCCAGGTCATTTCTTGAAAATATTAAGAGTGTTACCCTGGCATTCTGGCCACATTTCCCCCTAGCCTTTAACATTCAGGACCTCCTAATAATCCCCACCTATGAATTGGTTTCTTCACTCTGTTCTCCCCCCTACTGACAGCTGATGTGTGGTGAGTGTATTGGTGCACTTTGGCTGCCATAACATCATCCAGATGGGTCCTATATAGAATGTATGTTGAACAGCAGGAGCTGTCTGCATCCTGAAAACTCGGCTTTCCCAATCTGGGAAAAAAGGATTGTACATTGAATTGTAGCAATTTCAAATAGAGCCGTCTTAGTGGAGGAGAATCCCCATTAGCTTTGTAAAGCGCATTGAGTGAAGTGTCTAGAAAAATGCTATGTAAGTGTAAGGAATTATTATCTTCCTTTTATATTATACTTATAGTAGTTTAGTGTCCTTCTGCTTTCTGATTTATCTGTGTCCAGTAAGCATCAGCCTTTCACAGGGAGAACAATCTTGTCCACAATATTTCTTACTTAAAAGAGCTAAAATATTATCTATCATCAGTTGTTCTGATGAAAATTGCTGAACATTCTGCTGAACATTAACAATTTCACAGATTTTTAGCATGTAAATATTTCCTTTGAATGTGTGTACAGTAATGCACTCAATAGAACTTTCCAAGCTTTTAAGCTTTCCAAGTAAAGGAGATCACATCACAATATAGTTTTTTTTCAGTGTAAAAGACTACCGCAGTTTCTACATTGATATTCGTATTAATTTATAGTTCTTCCTTGAGGCTCTTTTCAAAGTTGCAAAAATTATTTTCCAGAAACTCTTTGAGTTCTACAGTATCTACAAGTGATTCCCTATTTACTCAAAATTATATTTTCTTCTCTGCCACTGTTAGTGAGGGATCAAACAGTTCTTTAGGGTTTTTTTGAGGCCTCTTCAAAATTTCTCCATATTCTGTCCACAGGTGACTCCCTAACAGGACATAAGAATCTGCCTTTTTTTACCAAAGACCGTGACAATGACAGCTGTGACTGCACCTGCAGCAACATCTACAAGGGAGGCTGGTGGTATGGAAAGTGCCACAGTTACAACCTTAACGGTCTCTATCTGGGTGGGCACCATGAAAGCTGTGCCAATTGAATCAACTGGTCATCTGGGAAAAGGTGCCCATTATTCCTATAAGTATTGTGATATGAAAATAAGGCCTAGATGAGAGCTGAAGATGTGCAGCACAGTGAGAGAGCCATTCTCAGCTCCATTCCCAGGAGTTTATCATACAGGAATAGTCTGCTCATGCCTTTGAGGCTGACTATTTTCGATACACTGAACACTTGCTTCAGCAAATGTTGCCCAGCAGCAAATTCAGAAAGCACAGCATCCACATTTTCATCAGTTGACCTATTACTTGTTCCATTGCATCCTATGCATGCAGATGCAGCTACCAACCTGAACTACTTATAATAATAATAATAATAATAATAATAATAATAATAATAATAATAATAATACTGTTCCATGTGTGAGTAATAAACATTCCAGTGGTAATCTTCACATTTAGCTATTAAAATGGTTTGAGGAGCAAATTGATTGTCTAGTAAATTGATTCAGAAATAGTAGATTCCAGGGATATGGGGGAAGTTATGCACTGGCTTTGGTCTTCTAATTCTAAATTGTCACCCTTTCTCTTTTGCAAAACATTGCAGTAAATTGAATTTTCATTTTTTAATTTAATTATATGTTTTAGCGTAATAAAACCGTGGTCTATCACCCCCAAATCTCTTACCGGATGTTTTCCTCCTTGTGCTTATCAGAATCTCTGAATGCACACACTTTACTGCAGAGAGGAATGAATGACAGGTATTGAACAGATGAAGTCACATTCCTTTGACTCCTGTTCTAGCCTCCACCCATATTCAATAACAGTTACAGTGCTGTTAAACAGGAGGCTGGACTCTTAGACTGTATAAAGGCAGCTGTTCTCCACAAGAATGCATGACACTGACAGAGGAGGTAGACTGACAAGGAAAGCATCTTGACTGGCAACAGAATGATTCTTCAAATGGTTTGTGAAACCACCTTTCTTCTCTCCTTGTGCCTCACTGCAGCCACCAGCACAGAAAGCACCTGTCCAGGTAAATGCTACAGCTGCATGGAAGTTGAAGTCTATAGCTGACCTGAGACCTGAGCTCAGGTCAGGGCTTGTACAGTCGCTGTTAATCTTACACACCCTTATGCAAGAGAATTGCCATACGCTAGGGAGCATAAAAGATTACAAAACTTGCAACCATTTGTCTTTCTTATTAAAGAAAATGTGAGTTATTTACTTTTTATACTTTTCAGTCTGTAAATATAATTGCTTTAGAACTTGAACTCCTTAGTAATTGTTCTACATTTTGTAACGGATGCCATCCTTCATAAGCACTATATAAAATACATTTGGATTAATCAATTGATTTTTATAAACATAATGGCAACAGCTGGCTTTTTGTTCCTAATTCGCTGTATTCTATATTGTAGTATGTTTCTACAGAAAATAGGCTTTGTCTAATGTCATGCCTTGTACACTGTTTCTGAATTTGCTTAGCTTCTTATTTACCATTTAATTAAACTCTAACAACTTGGAGTGATGGTTACCCCAGCCAGATTGCATGCCAGTAACGGTGATATTGCATTGAACAAAGGATTTTATTTGCTTCTTGGTTGGGTGATTTGTCTCCAAAGTTAACCCATAGACCTTAGTTTTTACAAAACATTAAACAACTAAAAGGAAGACTGCCCCTTCTGTCAGAGTTCTGCCTGTACATTGCGAGACTCTCTGGAAGAATTGGTGGTTAATTCATTTTCCAGTTTTTATGCAATTAGAAAAGATCTTTCCTCTGAATGATTTGTTTCTTTTAGACCAACAAGACTTTCTTGAAGAATCCTCCCATAACTGTGTCAAATCAGCCTCAGGCTACCAGGTTTTTGTTGACAAATCATAGCCGGATTGTAACATTGGCAAATTGGGAAATTTAGTTTTTTTCCCCACTATTTGGTTTGACTCCTGGAACTACAGAATTTAAATGAGAAAAGCTACAGAGGTTAGAGTCTGTACCATATCCCTGGCCCATAATAGACACCCCTTTGACTGTGTTCCATATTTTGTCAGAATAAGCCAGCAAATGTCTTGTGAAAACTGTGCTGGAGAAATTAGTTGCACACACTACACAGGAAGCAGAGTTATACTGAGTGGCGAAATACTGATGTACTGTATCTGTATCCACTTTTTCATCCATTCATCCCTGACCTTTTTATGGCAGTCTAAATGCACACAGCACTCACATACTAAACAAGCTAGGAAAACGGTAAGTCTCTGACGGTATAAAATATACTTTCAAAGCACGATTTCCTACATCGTTTCAAAACCTCCAAACCACTAAATGTGACCTCAACTAAACAAAACTGATTCAATATTTTGTCTGGTAATTAACTTTAACTACTTTGCAGTTCAGCTTGCCAACCCACTATCCAGTGCACACTTTGAGCCAGTCACATCTGTAAAACCAGAAATAAACTATCATGACCGCATTCTTTTCAACTACTGTCTAAACAGATCTTTATAAAAAGGCTGCAGTGCATGAAAGCTAAATTCACCAAAGCGATTACCCACTGAATGCTGGTATTAAAGAGATTGATGGTACTTGAATTCACTTGATTAGGGGAAAAAACTCCTAATACCCACATTATCTTAAAGGCCAATGCTTTTCATTGGACACTTCATCTCATTCCAGTAGTTACGGCAATGCTGTGCTCTTCTGTGTCACAGAGGTGAAGGTTGTGGGCCTGAATGACAAGGACAGACTGACCATCCTTCAGGGCTGCCCAGGACACCCAGGACACCCAGGAATACCAGGTACCCATGGAGCTCCAGGCATGAAGGGAGAACAAGGCATGCCAGGCCCTCAAGGTAATTAAAGATGTTTTCATCAGTGGTACAGTACCTGCACATCCAGTTACTGATAATTGGGGTCTTCTTTTCAGCTGTATTTCTTCATTACCTGTCTGAACTATTATCGCCCTACTCCCCACCTCGCAACCTCCGCTCTTCAAATTCTGCCCTCCTTACTGTCCCCCAAGCCCTGTTCCCGTTCCATTTCCTTGTCCGCCGGTTCTGACCCGGCTTCTGGTTTTAATTCCGTGTTTTGATGGATCTCCTGGTTTTGGACTTACCCATTTGTTTTGGATACTCTCTAAGGATTACTCTTTTGGATTGTTCGCCTCGGCCACACCTCCCCCGTGCACCAGCGCACCTTGGCCCCCCTGTCTTCAGCCCCGTATTCCTGCATGACGTTTCCCCAGTGTTTCCCCACTTCTTCGGATTGTGTCGTCCGCATAGGGTCCGGAAAGAACTGTTCGTTACAGGAACTCTTTGCCCAAGGTTATCAGAGAGTCACCTTCTCTAAATTCCTTCAAATCCAGACTCAAAACCCTCTTCTTCAGAAAAGCCTTTACTTAACTGGTTCCATTCTTCACCCCTCTGCTCTTCTTAGTACTACCTTCCACGGTCTTCTCTATTGTTATTGTTGTATTGTTGTAATTGTAATTGTATCTTATCTTGTGTATTCTTCTTATTTATTTTTGTATTCTTCTTATTTATTGTTATTGTCATCCGGAAAAGCGCTTTGAGAAGCCACCTTTAAAGGCGGTATATACATAAAATAAAGTTTATTATTATTATTTCAGGTGTGAAAGGAGAACCAGGAGTTTTTGGAAAGACTGGCCCAGCTGGAGCTAAAGGTAACAGAGAGAAAATAAAATTGAAATCAATGATATCCAAGAATGGAGCAGACCTGCTGAGCAGTGGGTAGACAAGTCTGTTTATGGCTCTGAACATCAATAATCATTAAAAAACTGCACTAAAAAGCTTTTACTTGTGATAATTTTAGAAAACAAATTCTTTTTCAGGACAGAAAGGCGAACCAGGGGATCAGGCTGGTACAGGTAAGCAAAGCATGAACACACTAACTTTAAGAGATACAAGCACAAGCTCAGACTCAGATTTAGTAGAAAAATTATGCTAGTTTAAACTATAGATATAGATTTAAACTACTTGTTGGTCAGAAAACTATCCCAAAAATCAGCTGTGTTTGGGATTGACACTAGTGCCTAAATTAGGGGGGCCTAAGTTGTTATTGCCCACCTCCCCCCCTCAAAAAAAGCAAAGGATGATCTTTTTTTTCTTGGATAGAGGAACAGTTTCACCCAAGACCTAACCCATCCTCCTTAGAAAATAGAAGTTTAATAGATTAAACAGCCTCTGAGGGGGATGAAAAGTGGAAACATATCTGAAGGGCACCCCCACAACCCAGACGAGAAAGAGAACTCTCCCACCCCACTCAAAAACAGCTTAAGTTTGCTTAACCCTCCCCCCTCCAAGCTCACATCAGCCCTGGCTGTATTTTTCTATTGCAACACATCATAACACTGTTTGGAAACAGCTTAACATATTTCTACTAATAAACTCCAGTGTAGACTTTCCAGAGTTTAAACATTTCCAGGTGTTTTCAAAATGGAAAAATACTCAGGTCAAATGTTTAAACAATGTTTTTTGGAAAATAATGAGACTGAAAATGGTTTGCATTCAACAAAGTCTGTATATCCATGTACTGTATAATGGGGATAGTCTTTCAGCAGTACACTACATTCTCAGTTCAACTGCTGATGACAGACTTTTGTCATTTTAGGGTCACGTAACTGTAAGGAGCTGCTGGACCAGGGGAACTACATCAGCGGCTGGTACACAGTGAGGACAGAGGGAGACAAAGACATCAGGGTGTTCTGTGACATGGAGACAGACGGGGGCGGCTGGCTTGTGAGTGATCAGATAAACCAACAATCATTTCTGACAAAAACAGTCTGTGCATTTCAGCTTAGATCTGATTCTATGCACAAGTACCTGTACAACTTCATCTGTTTGGAAAGAAAGTAGCAGTAAATACATTTCCATTTAACATAATCAAAACCTTTATTTACTGTTGGTGGGCAGTATGGTGGTACAGCGGTTATCGTTGCTACCTTGCAGGCTGAGGCCCTGGGTTCAGTTCTGGATCTAGGGTGCTGTCTGCCTTGAATTTATATGTTCTCCCTTGTTCTCATGGGTTTATTCTAGGTGCTCCCATTGCCTTCCACAGTCTAAAGGTATAACATACTAAACTGATAGGAACAAGTAAAAGTTTATTCCACACTGCAAACAGAAGAAAATAAACACAATGTTTCAGCTGTGGAGCCTTTTTTGGGTCAAGAAGGCTCCACAGCTGGAATGTTGTGTTTCTATTCTTTCCTTTTCAACATGGAATAAGCGTATTACTTGTTCCTTGGCAGCGGACGCATGCTGACACAGCTACCTACTGTACTTGAACTACTAAACTGATAGTTAAACTGGGTGCTAGGAAATATTGGCCCTGGTGTGCAAGTGTACATGTTTGTGTCTGTGGGTGCCTTGCAATGGGCACCCATTGCACCCATTGCTTGGTTTTGGCTCCTCTGTGACCCGGTGCTGTATACAGCGGTTAGGAATTGGTTGGATGGATTTACTTTACAAGCTTCCAAACCTATGGTAAATGAACAAGATACTGTAGATAATTCGGTTCTGCTTCCCTGGTGTGTTCTGGTTGCAGGTATTCCAGAGGAGGTTGGATGGATCAATAGATTTTTTACGAGACTGGGCCTCTTACAAGCGAGGGTTTGGTAACCAGCAGTCAGAGTTCTGGCTGGGCAACGACCACATTCAAACACTGACCAGCTCAGGTGAGTCTGCCAGCCTGGCCACAGGGCTGGGTCAGCACAGGAACTGCAGGAGACAGATCAGCTGTAGAGTATCAGCAGGGAAAAAGGACATTTTCTGACAACATGAGAAGAGTTACACTGGGAAGGTTGAAAAGCCAGTAAAAAAAATATTTGTTTAACTTTATATCATCTTCAACTAGAGAAGCATAGTTTTGATTTTTCTCTCCAGTTTTAAAATGAGTGCAACTGCTTTATGTTCAACTTAGAATCTGTTTTTTTGGTAATTACTAGACATCTGAATATCCAAGCATGGTACAGTAGTTTGTATAGTCTTTACATTGGATCCGTGTACATTTAACACTTTGTGTTTTTCCATGTTTACTACACATACTGGGTATACTTCACAAAAAGCCAAAATAAATTAATTTTGTTCACCTGTGTTGCACATCCGAGCTCATAATATTTCACATTACTCTTGCTTTATCAGAGTATATGTGCAGTTTATTTTTAAATAGCTATAGTCCATAAACAGCCTCATGTTTTTGTTTTTAAATGTGCAGTACCTTTCCACAATTTCTACACTTATCTTTGAACCTTTGCTTACTTTCAAAAGTTCAAAAGAATTGTTTAGACTGACCTTGTGAATACCTTGAGTGATGGGTATGTGACACTAATTAGCCCAGGCAATGTAACATCAAAACCCTTTCATTCTTGTGACAATGAAAAGGTAGATTTGATGTCATTAGATTAGATGAGTTGTTTTAGAAACCTGCCATTTTGAAGGCTATGAACACTTGCACTTACCGAAAGAGTCAGAGTTGTTAAACATGACCAAGTGACACGACCAATCTAATTATGCAAACATTTAGAAAACCATACATTCACAATAAAGAAAACAATTGACTGCAATAGGTTTCTGATCTTTGCATATGATTACATGGACTGTAATAAAGAATGTTGTGTTTCCTTCTTCTAATATTTTCTCAATTGATTAATGTATGATCCCTTCACGTCATGTTCAGTGATACAGTTAGGTGCTTTCAGGAAGGGTATCTAACATGATGAACACACATTTCTGGAAAAGAATGAATTATCTTGTGTATTCTTCTTATTTATTTTTGTATTCTTCTTATTTATTGTTATTGTCATCCTGTAAAGTGCTTTGAGAAGCCACCTTTAAAGGCGGTATATACATAAAATAAAGTTTATTATTATTATTATTATTATTATTATTATTATTAATAATAATAATAATAATAATAATAATAATAATAATAATATCTTAGCTTCTAACCTATATCCTTGTGTGTCTATTTTTTAAGGGAATAATGAATTAAGGATAGACTTCAAGGATTTTGACAATGTGTCTACTTTTGCAAAATACCAGTCCTTCATGATTATGGGGGAATCAGAGAATTACAAACTTGTGCTAGGGGGATTTCAAGGTGGAAGTGCAGGTAGGTTCAAATTTCTGACTTATTTCTTGCAAGAGCGATGTAAGAAGCCAGACGAATTATATTTTGCCCATTTTCGAAACCTGATTTGGGACCTAGTCTCAAATTCTTTTTGACCATTCAATTGCGCATGTACAGTATGATGCATTCACATGTTTATATTACTATTGATTTCCACTTTGGTTTTAACAAGACAGAGCAGCCTGATAATACAATAATATCTAATGTTTTAACATACAGTTTGTGATGGTACTGATTACCTCTCTTAAAGTACTGAGACTGAGAATGGGTTAATATTCTTTCCAACTGAATTCTAAACATTCAATAAGTCCACTTGCACAAAACCTCAAAGTTGCAAGGCCACAAAATTGCAATTATTTGTTTTTCACTTTAAGATGTTATTGGTCCACTATGTTGGCGTTAAATTTTAATTTGCACACTATACTTCCATAAACCTGTCATATTTGTGGTTTGTGGTTATGAATAGAAGTACACAGTGATTAATACCTAATATGAAACTAAATTATTCATCCCCTGGGTCCATAGTGTAATGCCTGGTATTTCTGCATGTTTTCCTTATACTTCCGTCTTTAATTTTCCACTCCGCTCATAAGGCTGCTGGTCAGTGAGAGAAAGTAAGTATTCACCTCAGTAAAGACCCTTGCTGCCAGAAGTTAAAACTTATTTATTTTCTATCTCCAGGTGATTCCCTATCGTATCATAACTCAAGGCCCTTTTCTACCAAAGACCGCGACCATGACACTTACGACAGGAGCTGTGCTGAAATTTTTCAAGGAAGTTGGTGGTATGGGGACTGCCATCACTCAAATCTGAACGGGCTCTATCTGGGAGGGAGTCATGAGACACATGCCAATGGAATCAACTGGTTGTCTGGAAAAGGCCATAAGTATTCCTATAAGTACTGTGATATGAAAATACGACCCACTTGAGGCCCAGCAGAGGTTTAATGTTAATCCTTGACTCCCACATAATGTAAACATTTAACTGTACTGTACTGTACAGAATGGATGTGTCTCATGTAGTCTATGTTTAACACATTCTCTTGCTTGTTTATGGAAGTCATTGTCAAAACTATGGCTATGTAGATCACATCATACAGTTTATTGTAAGGGAGACATGCTAAAGCATTGAAAATATTTATCAATAGTTGGTGAGTTACATGAAAGATAACAACTAAGGGCTATAAAGAACTGATTAATACAATGCTAAAATAATATTTTATTTTTTATTCTACATGGACGAAAACATATGTATGACAAATACGACTGCCCTGTGCAATGTTTTTATGATTATATTATCTTTAGTGTAAAACATCATAAGAATTTTTTAAGCAAGACACTATCCAATCTGTAATCCATTTTTCTCTATGAAGTATTTTATTCCAATTGTATTTATTGGGGGCAAGAATACGCCTAGATGGCACAAAAAGAAGCCCATTTCACTGGTCAAAGTATAGCTATGTCTTGCTGATAAATTCTAAAAAAGACAAAAGAATTTTACATGACAGTTTGCCCATTATGTGCACAGCAGAATTTTGTCAGCTTACCAGTTATCTCATTTTGTATAAAGGGACTAAGCCTAACATTCTAAATTTAACCTGGATGGTACCTATATAACTTTTTAGTCATTGTTTCCATTGACAAGGTATAGTCTTTCCAGACCTGGCTTACTCATGCCCCCAGTCATCGCACCCAAACCTCATACTTTGTCTTGTGGGAGGCAAACCCACACAATGGTTCATTGTCAGCTGTTCAGGCTAGAGGGGTAAAACCTGTTCTCTGGGTCTTGTTCATGAGCGAGGGTAGAGGGAATTGAGGCACAGACCAGTGGTTTGGTGCAGTGTTAACATTAATGCGGACAATGTTCCAAACCGTTGTGGTGAAGTCCAGATAAAGCTCTTGGTTTTCTGGTTGATCTACAGTACGTTCCAGCCCTCGCCTATGGCCATGAACCTTTGGTAGTCACAGAAAGAATGAGACCATGGGAAATTAGGTTTCTCCATAGGGCTGCTGAACTTACTCTCTATGATAGAGTGAGGAGGTCTGGGAGCAACCTGTACTTACCGGTCAAGCAACCAAGGAGTCAGAGGAGCCAGATGAGGTGGTTCAGGCGTCTGGTAAGGATGCCCCCAGGGTGCCTCCTGCTGGAGATATACCAGGACAGACCCACTGGGAAGAGACCCCAGGGCAGACCCAGCACACACAACTGCTGGAGAAAGGGAAGCCTGTTACCACTGAGACCCTCATCAGGAATGAACATTTAGAAAAAAAGATGTGACTTTTTTTCTTATGTTTTTGAAACCACCTCGAGCAATGAAACAATAAAGACACCTCCAAACCCCTGAGTGATGTGAGCGAAGAGTTTGTTGAATGGCACAATGATCTAGCCTCCAGACCAATCAAAGCTAACTTTTATTTCACCCCAAAGAAAGCAGTGACTCCTTGTTTTGCAGAAATCCTCAAAAGGGAAAATACAAAGGGAAGAAACATGAAGCATGAGTTCTGAATACATTTGTAGCTTAAATAAAATATTATACTTTGGTTCAACGTAACTATCTTGGCAACTCTGAGTTCACAATTTTATAGTATTATTAGTGCTTATCATAATACATATCTGTGTTTATCCCCGAGGGACAAGGATGAGACAAATGACAGATCACTTCCCAGGCACATCAGTTATTGCAGAGAGAAAAGACACCCAATGAAAACATACACATGTCCTTCACCCCTCCCCTCAAAACACAACAGTAATTAAGATGCTCTTGGAAAGGGGTCTGGACAATATAAAAACAGCCTTTTCCCCTAACAAGCCACTCTGAGAGAAGAGGTGGACACTGAGGGACATCTGAATGATCAGCAACAGAATGGCGCCTAACAAAGTCTCTGGTTCCATCTTCATTGTCTCTATGTTTGTCACTGTGGCTTCTGGAGGAGAAAACACCTGTCCAGGTAAATATCAGACTCACTAGAAACACTAGAAAAACCTTTACAGTGTTTTTACAGTATAGAGATGTGCAGATAGTGCTGTTGTATATTTCTTGTGTTTCAGATTACACTGTACATGTTGCACCTCTATTTAAAAAGGTCTTTTCCTGTTATTGGCTTTGCTACTTGTGCCCTGCGTACTACTTTGTGTCATTTTCTGCTGCTTTTTCTATTTTCATAAGTCTGCCATTTCAATTAAATAATCAGTGAACAATTTTATGGAAAGGTTTTAGGTACTGTAGCAGATTACCTGTAGGTGTGCTTAGAAAGCGTGGAAATCAGATGAACATCAGGTTTCTAATCTGCCTGTTGAAGCAGATTTACTATGCCTGGAGCAAAGTGACATATAAGGAGTCATATTTTCTCATCATCCTTTAACTACTTTTATGGCCATCTAAACACGGAGACTAGTAACAAACAAGAAAGGATGGTGTACAGGAAGGCTGAACTATAAAAATAAGTGTATGGCAACTATTTTCTGAAATCTCAGAATATTTGCCTTGCTTGCCTGAAAGCAAGCAAGCTAGGGGAAAAATTGTAAGGATTAAAGGAAGAAGAACGAGGTATTACAAACTCTTCCATCTTTTGAAAACCCCTTACCTCCCAATAGGATCATCTCTAAAGTCTGAGAAAATCTCCTGCCTGATGAGCCTCATGTAAGATTCTCTCTCTGTGAAAAAGTTCTGGACTGTCTACTGCATTTAATTATATTCTATGTAATTATCGCAGTGTGACAGATGGCAGAATCTCCTCCATTCAAATACAAAAAACCTTGATTAAAGCATTGGATCCACACCCACTGTCCATAGAAGAACAGAAGCCCTAGTCCTTTGGCTCATGACAACAGACTCTCCAGCAATGGATAAAGAGTTTGACCCCAAACATAATGTGAAACCTCCACCTCTCTTGTCCAGTTTTCCTGTTGAAGCTGCGCTCTTTTGTATTGCAGAGCTGAAGGTTGTGGGCCTGAATGACAAGGACAGACTGACCATCCTTCAGGGCTGCCCAGGACACCCGGGGATACCAGGTGCTCCTGGAGCTCCAGGCATGAAGGGAGGAGAAGGCCCTCGAGGTAAGTGATAGCTGTTCTAACGTCTCCCCAAGTCATAGCAACTATAGACAGAAATAGGACACCTCTCAGCTGTATGCAGCTGTATGGTTCAACCCAAAGACCTCTTAATCACTGATGATAGAGGCTGCCTCCTCACCTGTATTACTACATTTTAGGTGTGGCGGGAGAGCCAGGAGCATTTGGGAAGATTGGTCCAGCAGGAAGCAAAGGTAAATAGTGATTATTTGTTTTTACAAAGGTAAGCATTGGGAAATTGCTCCTAATTTTCAAATACAAATCACATACAGTGAAGAAGAATGGCAGGCACATTTAATGAAAGGAGCAAGGAGGTTTTAATGTAGAAATTAAAAGAGAAAACATTCTGTTGTGGAGTGACTTTGCTAATGTAATTCTTGTAAAAACAAACAAACTTTTGAATGCCATTAGGAAATATAACAAACAATACATGTAGGTAGGTAAGATAAACTGCCCCTAGATTATATAGCTTTCAAATGATAAAATAAGCTTATAGTGTTAAAAGTTTTGAGGTAATGACTTGTCTATTATTCCTTTTGAAGGACAGAAGGGAGAACCAGGTGATCAAAGAAGCAAAGGTGAGCGTTTGACATACTACCGAAAACAAGCTATTACTTACTGGATTTTGCCTAACTACCATTGAAAATGGAAAGCCAAAATCCCACAAATTGATAAAATTCACCCTCAGGAATAACTAAATGTAGAGAATGTGTATCACTCAGGATGTAATAGTCAGAAACATATCCCAAGAAATCAAATAAATCTCTGTTACAAAACCTTTATAATGTTTAACACTGGAAAATAAATAAATTCAATAGTTTTGAATAAAAGAACACTGAATAAAAGAGATAAATGTAGAACACCCTCACATCAGATGCTGAATTGAAAATTCAAATGGGAAAAATGTTGAAGACACATATTTTTTTGTTTATTAGAAGAGAAAAAGAAGTGATGTACTATAGATTCTGTCTCCATCTGCAAGATTGCACTTTGCACACTGGCAAAGGGAGGCATGTGTCTGTTCAGCTGCCAGCGTGACGTTATCGTTCTTCCAGGGGCTCGGAACTGTAAGGAGCTGCTGGACCAGGGGAACTACATCAGCGGCTGGTACACAGTGAGGACAGTGGGAGACAAAGACATCAGGGTGTTCTGTGACATGGACACTGACGGGGGCGGCTGGCTTGTGAGTAGCCAAAAAATTACTTTCCGACGCCATATAGGCTGCAGAAACGTGGCTTCTTCAAAAAAACAGTGGATATCAATTAGCTTCTAACTATCAAATAAGATAGATTGGCCAAATGGTCTCCTCAGTGGTAACTCTGGTTATGATTATCAGAACATAAATACAAAGATCTAAAACACTGATTGCTTGAGCTTTACAAAGAAAGAAGAAAGTAATGTTTCATGTCTTTTATCTTGAAAACATATACTTACTGTAGCAATAGCAGAATGCTTCACAGCAGATATAGCTTTTTGTTACTAATGTACAGATTGCTTCAATTACAGATAGTCTCTGTCTCCATCTGAGCAGCTACATCTACTGTATGTGTATTGATAATTAAACACTATTGTTACATAAATGGATTACAGGCAACACAGAAGTTTATGCATATTTCTCATTGCTTCCCGGGATATTTGCAGGTATTCCAGAGAAGGATGGATGGGTCAGTTGATTTTTTCAGAGACTGGGCCTCTTACAAGCGAGGGTTTGGTAACCAGCAGTCAGAGTTCTGGCTGGGGAACGACCACATTCATTCACTGACCAGCTCAGGTGAGTTTTGCCTTCCTTCGATCGATGCTTTGTGAGTTGATAACTAGATTTACGGAAAGAGGTTATATAGTAATTAGGCAGTATGAATTAGTCTATAAATTAGTTTAATTATCTTAATTAGCATAATCCTCAAAATGTTACTGCATGCAATTTATTTAAAATAATTGGCATCCAGCTACTTTCAGTTTCAAAACTATACATTTATGTTTTCCATTGTATCATCAAGGTGATCATTCAGAGTGATTTTATCAATACTGTGAACAATGGTTGTATGGAATGCCATTCTGTTCCTCCAGCACAGAGAAAGAAACTGGACTGGACAAACTGGACTTTTCTGACTTCTCTTCAGATGCTGCCAGAGACAAAGGAAAAAAACTTGTCTTTGATCAATCATTTGGAACTATTAACATGTACAATGACAGGAAACTGTTCCTATTTTGCTTTAAAGTTATGCAAAAAGCATTTTTGATAAAAACGAGTCTGCCCTGTTTATCATAGGTTTGCAGGAGCACCATCTGCAATGCATGTTTTGAGGTGCAGTCTTGCTTGTTTTCTTTTGAAGGGGATTATGAATTAAGGATAGACTTCAAGGATTTTGACAATGCGGCCACCTTTGCAAAATACAGTAATTTTCTGGTTACTGGGGAATCGGAGAATTACAAACTTCTGCTGGGGAATTTTGAGGCTGGAAGTGCAGGTAAGGTCTTGTTGCATTTTCACCCGCTGTATTAATACTGCACCTTATATATTTATATATTTCTTTGTATTCCCAATTTGGAATTGACCATTTAGTCACTATTATTTCCAGTTCATAGTTGACTAGACAGTCTTGGTGTCAGACTAAAACATTAAATTACAGTCAATTATAATTTGTCTCTGCCTGTCTAAAGGCAAACATTCCACCATGTCTGATTAATAGGCAGTTAATTTGAGGGCAGAGTATATATGCATCCATCCTTTTCTAACTGCTTCATCCGATACAGGGTCACGGGGGAGCCAGAGCCTATGCTGGCAAGCAAAGGGTGCAAGGCAGGTCATCAGTCTATCACAGCGCAGACAGACACAGACATGCACACACTCACAGCAAAGTTAATTTTCCCAGCAGCCATTTAACCTAACAGAATGTCTTTGGACTGTGAGAAGAAACTGGAGCCCCCGGAGAACACCGGGAGAGCATGCAAATCACATGCAAATTAGCTCCCTAGATCCGGAATTGAATCCATTCTAAAGTGTAAGCATGCAAGTTACATTAGATGTCTTGTTTAAAATTATTTGTTGAAAGTGCAATAAGCCTTGCAATTAAAAATATAGCGTATGTGCTTTTTTATACAGGGCAGCTTTGAGATAGAGATTGTTTGAAGTCCTGCATGCAAAGTGCTTATAACTACAGTAGGTTTAACTATTCTGATCATTAGTTCATTTAGTCATTCCCTACAGCAAGTAATATCTCACAATTTTTATGTAACCATGTATAAACTGTATGAGCTTCATCTGTTGATTTGTAGATCTTATTCCCTCCTCTGCTTTTGCAGCAATAATATGTGTTGGGAGACTAATTTCTCCCTCTCTCACATCACAACATACTGTATTTCAGAACACTACTCTTAAATACCTAAAGAAACAACCTGAGACAAATCTCAACAATTCAGAAATCTCTGACAGTATCCACCTATTGCTTTGGGATAGAAGCCAGGAAAAGCTGACTTGAGCAGAATCTATCTCACATTCAATGTAGTATTGGGCAGTACCTCAAATCTCAAAGTAACACTGTTGTAACTGATTCAATAGTAGGACTGTGGTCTTCACTTTAATGATTGCTTTGTTGGGGTCAAACAGATTTGTTGCGGAATACAAAGTTTGTTATTAATGAAGGACTTGTATTCTGTCCTCAGGTGATTCCTTCACATATCATAACAGCATGCCCTTTTCAGCCAAGGATCGGGACAATGACAGCCATGATAACAGCTGCAGCACTATGTTCAAGGGTGGCTGGTGGTATGGGAAGTGTCACCAGGCCAATCTCAATGGTCTCTATCTGGGAGGAAGCCATGAAAGTCATGCTAATGGGATCAACTGGTTGACTGGGAAAGGCCAAAAGTATTCCTATAAGTACTGCGATATGAAAATAAGACCCCGCTGAGT